ATTTGAACGTTCTTCCTGATCATAGATCCTAGATTGATAGCAAAGACAGAGTGCTAAAACAATGCATCGCATTTGTATTGACGGATACCCAGGACCTTCGATTGGATATCTATTTCTTTTCAATTTTTGTGGACGATTTGTTAAACTCTTGTGGAAAAAACCTATCAATTTTATGGCTCTCTTCACATCACGTAAGCTAACACTATATGGCTCCTCGATAGAGCGAATAAATTCCTGAGAAGCAAACAAGAGTTCTGTAAGCGCTGAATGGTTCAATTCTTTAAGTAGAGTATCTGTCATAATTTGAATGTATTTCTTTTCATCTCTCTTTTGCAGAATACCGTAATCCCAAACATAGTCCAGTATTTGATCGGGAAGTGGTTTTACTTGATACACGAGAGCACTCTGTTCTTCATATCTTTTTACTTTAGTTGTCAACCCGGCTTGGCTCTGGGCTTTTGTTCGTAGACGATACGGATTACAAGCAGAAAATAGTCGAATATCCGGATGAATTGGTTTTCCATGGAGCGTCCGATGAGCAATAAGGTCAGCTAGGAGGCCAATATGATTGCAGGTATTGATCTCGTCGAAGAATAACCATATCTCCCCTTCTTCGGCCTCCTTCTGAACCTCGATCATAAATTTTGTTATGGCGGTTTCCGTAACTCCTGCGTGAAGATTTAGTGGCCGAAACTTGACTTCAACAACTCGCGCCAAATAACCGATTAGACTTGTCTATAAAAAATTTAATACAGATTGCTTATTTGCGTAAATTGAAATTAAAACATTTATAAATAACATTAAGTGAAATATTTACCTTCCCACATCCGGCTTCCCCCATTACAACAACTGGAATATTAGCCCGTGCCCTTAATAGAATCAAAGCCATCTTGACCAAGTTGTCGGACGATAGCGCATAGGGATCTAGCTTTATACGATGCATCGTTTTACGCGCTAAACACTCTAATCTGTTTAATAATTCTGCCTCAGACATTGAGTTATAATCTTCGATGTCCTTATTTCTTCTGTCAATAGATTGACTTTTTAAGAAATTTCTTACATTCTTATCAACTTTATTTTTATCTCGATACAAAGCACAAATTGAATCCGGGTTTTGAGACATAAAGAATACCAAAAGATGATTAGAATCATCCCATGATTTGACGTTAATTTCAATGCTATCTAACGAATCTACTTCAATGGATTTCAGTTGCGTCGCCTTGGCATGAACTGAACGAGTTGCAAAGTCTTTGGAAACTTCCAATAATTTTTCAACCAATGTACTCCTTAGCTTTTCTTCTTCTACCATTTGCTTCAAGTTTTCGACACGGAAATAAGAACTTAATGACAATCGTATCTAAAAATCAATCCAAAAATGTTTAAAAAAAACTTTATTAAAAAAAAAAAGGTCGATAAAACGATAATACTCACCAATTGATCGGCTAAAACACTGACAAAAATTTCCACAAAACGGAATGATGAAATATTATCTGCATTTTGATTAAAAAAATATTTGGCCACCAGTTCCTGGCACCTTATTGTCGGCAAATTCTTGTTAACTGAGCCTTCCCCACGGAATAAAATATCTCTTGAGTCAATCTGATTCTGATCAAGCGCATCCAAATATTGACACACCACTTGAATTGGACTGTGAATCTCCTGTGATATAATTAAATTTCTAATGTCCCATGATAGATGTTGCTTCAACAAATAACCGGTGATTGGAAGTAACTTAAGCAATTGTTGTCCAATTGTCGAAGCAACTTCAATAAATATGCTAGTTTGCGGAAGGCACGTGATATCCACGTCGCTATATACAAAGCCTAAAGTCAAAAGCTCAAACAAGAACATATTAACGTCGTTATAATTATCCGCAGACACAATATTGATATGTAAACTTTCCACTTTACGAAGATTGAGTTCTTTAAGCTGATGAACTAGTCTACTAAAGTTAACCCCATCACTGATAAGGAAGCTACGCGGAACAATTTGCTTCTTGTAGCTAGATTGTCTGATCCATTCACTCTTGCCTTGCCCTGACAAATCCGAGGAGACACATACAGCATACGGACACAGTTGTTGATAAATATCTTTCATCGTCTCGACGCCTAAACCATTGGTGATAACAACATCTTGAGAAAATTGATCTAAAATGTGATGATGAACTCCGGCCTCTTGACAACAAATCAATGCGAGCAAATAATCATTGTGTTTCTCACGCAAAGATCTTATATTATTCACGAGACTATATTGAAGATCAAATTCGAGTAATTCTAAATTCGCGATGCAGAACAGATGATTTTTATACCCATTATCAGATGCAAGGAAACAACGCATGAGAAAGATGGAGAGTTCTTCCATAGTCGTGGTGGATTTGCAGATCAAGATTTGCCATGGTTCTGGGTAATTCCCATGATTTGCGTAGACCGACATGATGATATTAGGAACCAATGATTTGTTATCGCAGGAAGCAACAAATAGTTTTCCATTGAGTACTATGTCAGATGTAACCAATTCTCCTTTGGTCTTAAGTGGCTTTGGTTGTATCGGGATGTTGCCAAAAGTATTTTTTAGTTTTGCACCGATTTCGCAAAGGACCAGATAATGATCGTTATTTTTACGTGAGAAACCAAAAGCTCCTTTCTTGGGCAGCATTCTGGCACTTCTGTTGACAAATTGTATGAGAATTTCACAATTTTCTTTATTCTTCTTTTCATCTCCGGTAAAGTAGTCGAGGAAAGCAAGAATATAACGAGCCGGAAAGAATGTTAGGTAGTAATGATCTCTTTGTGCGCGATTAACGATTTCTTCCCTAAAATCGTGAACAGCATCGTAAGTAAATATTTGAAATAATGATGAATCTGATATGCAACTTACCATTCTTTTAATTCGTCTTTAAGTTTTTTAAGTAAATCAGCTAATTCGTTCATTTTATTGTCATCCGAGATTTCCTTCTTAAATTGTCGATATCCAAAGTGTCCAACCTGTATTATTTTAGTTCCAACGTTACAAATCTCGTGCACAATATCAACTTGCCGAACAAATTCGTCCATGATCATTGCCCTTGCTCTATGCTCTTCGGTATCTACATCGATATCTATTCTCACGCTAGGTTTTGCAATTAATAATGCGCGCCCTCTTAAATCCTGTAAATCGCTTAAAGAATATGGCTTCACCTTCTCTACCCGGGATGGGTAAGTCAAGGTGACAGAGAACTCATCATTTCCTGTTCGTTCAAATGTGTAAGTCCCTTTCTCGACCGCGTTCTTGATTTTTTCTTTTGTAACCTCCCCACGATTTGAAATATTTTTGTACATATTTTGCA